TATTAATATTATTCATACTCAAATCAATAGTTTCATACTTATGTTAAAAGATATATTTCTCATACAATTTTGTTGTTAAATGCGATGCAAAGCTTAGTTATCAAGCTTAATGCACATGATTCTTTTTATTTATTGTTTATTTGACATCTCATTCTATTAATTTCATGTCTAACTTTCAAATCTATTTATACAAATGCAATATTATCTCTTTTAGCCAGCTCAAAATTGCATTGCTTTTACTTATAAATAAAAAATAATAATAATGTTTTGAACTTCTTAGTTTTATACCATTTCTCCTCTCTTAAGGATGCAACCCACCTTAACACAAACAAAACAAAAGAAGAAAAAAATAATATAACACATAAAACTAAGATGTTAGCAGGGAAGGATATGTTGAAAACTGTATAATGTCACCATCATCTATATACAATGCAACAAACAAATCATAGAGTTGCAAGACTACAGGCTCTGATACCAAAATGAAACATCTCCCTCTCCAGCTGATGTGGACCCAGCGTCCTTGCTAGCACACCGATTCGATCCTGGCTCTGATACCAAATGTAACATCTCTTCTCTCCAGCCGATGTGAGACTTCACATTTTGAGAAGACAAACCATTGTTGCTTCCACTTTCAGCCCCTCGCTTCTTTCTTTCAAGTTCAACAGCTTTGTTACCACTACCCTTTGCGTCTTTCCTCAATCCTCACTTCATTACTTTAATTTATAGAGGTTATATTTGGATTAGCAGTGTAAAAAAGTAAATTATTTGTAATTTGATTTTTAGAAAAGTGAGATTGAGTAAAAGTTACTTTGGGTAATGTGACTTATGTTTAGATTAATTTTTATAAATAAGTTAGTTTGTGAAAGTAAGTTGTTTGAATTATAATTGAATAAGTAATTTTAGTTTCTAAAATTACCAAAATGAGTATGATTTTTTAAATAATGAAAAAATTATCAATTTACATAATATAATAATTTTAAATTATTTATAAGCTCATGTTAATATCATATTTTTTATTTTTTTAATCATTTATTATAAGGACATATTTAAATTTAAAAAAATAAATTATGGCCTTGAAATGCTGAGCCTAATAGGCTCAGAATTGAATGGGATTACTGTGGATGAGAAGAACGAGATCATCGAGGCGGAGATCGATATAAATATAGAGTTGAAGCTGTATGGGCACGATTACACGCGATTACATCCAGTTACTTGATTTGTGAGTTTTGTAGTTTCTACTCTGTAGAGTAGCGTAGAGCTTATTCTTGAGTAGTCAAATAAACAAATACTGTTTGCAAATTTTTTTTTAAAAAGCAGAAGATAAAATGAACATCGTAATTATAAACAGGTATTTCCTTTTCCTTCTTATTGTAAATGTAAATAAGAACCATACGAATAAATGATATTAAAAATTCAAACTTCAAAAACGAAGGTGATAATTGTGAAAAGTTTGAGTTGTAATTTTTTTAAAAAAAATGAATGGTTTGATTCATAAAGAGAAAAAGAAAACTTAAAAGTTTTTTTTTCCTGGAGTTGGACACAATGTGTGATATTTTTGTGACGTTATTAGTTGATTATTAAATAAATATTTGATAGTGCTTACTTTTATTATTCTTTAATGAAGATACGAGCAAGGTTGTCATATAATTAAATGGATTTCAATACAAAAAATTACAACAATTTGGTTTAAAATTGTTTAATAATATAATTCTTTGTTGATCAAATAACCAGGTTTAAAATTTGTCTCATAATTAAATTTGAAAATCATTAATTCTTCATAAATCATAATACTTATCATACGTATATTTTAATATATTTTTCAAATAATTATATTTATTTTACACATGGTTAATGATACATAGGAATAAATTATAAAATAATTCACGCATAAATGGTATAAGTTTAAAAAAAAAAATAAATGTTAAATTTATTTATACTTTTATTTAAGTTTTGCAAATATTATTTTTTGCATACATCAAATAAAAACGTTACGATGCCTTTTTTTTTTTCGAGTGGAAAGGCAAGCATAAGCTTGGGTTACAAAAAGATGAGGTTAGTCAGCATTTCTAAAACTGACATCTACCAATTCTTGGTCTCTCGCGACTTGCGCTCTGCATGATATTGGCACCTGAGATAATACTTCCAAGTCGTCTCCCATTCTCTGAGCTTCCCTTGCTAGAATATCAGCACATGCCATTGCCTCTCGTTTCGCATGCAACAGCATGACTGACGGTAAATTATAAAGCACTTCCCTAGTTTCCTCCACCTCAGCGCGAAAAGGATGGTTGATTGCATTATCTCGCATCAACGTAGTTACGATGCCTTTTGAGTTCTGAGAGAATTGCTGGGTTGAAACACAAGATTTCAACAGTAGATTTGACTAAGGAACTTCTTGAGGGGTGATTAGGAACCCCATCTTTCGTGAGCATGAAATAAATATTTATATTACGAAACCAAGTTTCTTTTCTTTTGGTGCAAAATATACGATGTATGGGGAGAAAACAATTAGAATTTTAAAAAAAAAAAGTATTGTGCTTAGTATTTTTTTTTGAATATTTAGATCTAAATCTTATCAATAAATGTACATAAAAACTTTAAATATTATATATTTTATATTTGTGAATCATAAAGCTCTTGTATGTTTATTTTTTTAAACAAAATTTATTATATATTTTATATTTAAAAGTCTTTTGTAATATAACAAAGTTCAAATAAAAACTTCACAAAAAAATGACGGAATATTTTTATGAAAAAAATCCCATAAAAAAATAGAAAAATATAAAATCTCAAATCAGAGTTGTTTTGCACATTTTAAAAGTTTTGACTGTATTTCACTTACAGATTAAGGATTCCTGATTTGAAATTTAGTCATTTTTAGGTTCCTTTTATGTGATTTTTCCTATTTTTATTTATGAAAGTTCCATATATAAAAACCTTGCCAATGTATGGAGGTTTGCAATTTTTTTTAAATTATGGAAAAAGAATTTTTTTGGGAAAACCTTACAGCTTGAAATTGTCAAGACGCTTTAGTGTGCATTTTTTTAAAAAAAAACTTTTTAATATGGTTTTTCATATTTTTTTTTAGTAAATGAAAAGAGTAACAATTTACTACCTTTCCATTTTTTTTCATAAGAGATAATTATGGAGTATAACATTGTTTTTGGTAAGAGATATTTACAAGTCATCTCAAATTCGGTTTGTTAATTTCCCATTTTACTTCTATTTGATTGTTGATACTATTTATATTATTGTAGTTAATTTTCACGCCTTCTCTTGTCACCACACATTTTCTTTCTTATAAATGAGGGTATTTTTAGAGAAAAAGTTACATTTTTTATTACATATTTATTGTCTTCAGCTAATCTTAACTAGTATTTTAAATAATATAATTTGATTAATTTGGTGCAACTCTACGTTATTAATATTAACCTTAATTCATAGACACGGAAAGGAAATCCATATGCTCTTGCAGTTGATCTTCGTCATGATAATGCTTTAAGAGGAACTCGAGTCCTTCAGAAGAATAGAAAGTATGCTTCGGGATCTAAGTCCAAGAAACTGTTTGAATGTTCTTTGATGGCTCCATCTAAAGAAGTCTCGTTTGGTAATCGCGCTTCACTTGTTCAGGCTACCATATCCACGTTGTTCAGGAAAGTGGAGCAAGAGGTAAACTTTAAGAATACTAACATGGATATCAAATGCAACGTATCTGTGAGGAGAAATGTGAGGATGGTTCACACCTCTTGCATATTTTATGAATTTCAACTATTTTAATGTCAATATTAAGCGAATCTTTAAGTACAAAATAACGTTGTGTAAAATGCCAAGGAAATAGCTGACTTCGTTTTTGCCAATGGTAAAAGCCAACTTATTAGCGATGGTTATTGGAGTCGGGAATCTAACGTCGTACATTACAATGTAGGCCGAAAATGATGATGACATTGAAGAATTTTCGAGTACTTCAAAGGTAGTTATTGATGAGATTTCGCATGCTGGCTTTCATAGGCATTCACCCTAGCGGCCACTAAACCCTTTTTTTCACAGTTGATAGTTTACAGCAGTAATAGGCACTCCTAACCTGATAGTTTCCTGATTGCATTTATATTTGTTTTATCTAGGAAACTGACGGAAGCGAAGAAGATTGGACTCATTGAGAGCGTGCTGTCATTTCCCTCGTTAAAATGGTTGAACAGTAACGGCTTTGCTGAACACGCCTCACTCTGGCTTATAAACGAGAAACACACACACACAAGCACGCACGCACAAACCCCATCGTGACTAGAAGATAGAATGAAATTCTTTTAACGTTTTCTTCTTTTTCATACTGGGATTCAATGAACAAGCTTATCTTCCTTGAGTGTTACGTGGGCAATCTATTAAAAAGTGAGAGAGCCACTACATATTGGTTGAGGCCTTCCATAGATATTAGAAGAAGAATTATGGAGGATTTAATGCTTTCCCTAAAATTACCTTTTTTTAAGAATAGAGGACATATATTTAATGGGTATTTCATCTCGATTTTTTGGGACAATTAATTTTTGTTGACAATGCTTGAGATCACGTGCCTACCCCACTCTAGTTATTGTTCTTCTTCTCTTACATTTAAACGTCTGTCCGAAAACATGGTGACTAGGAAATTACTGAAGTTGGTGATTGTCAGTTTTGTCTTGGTGGAAGAAGATAAGTAAACGCTGATAAGCAGCAATAATATCATATGCAGTGAAATTTATACGGAGTTTGGAGAAAGCATATTTGAAATGGAGGTCTTCTAGAAACCTCAAATCACATAATGCAATCTAAACTTGTGCACATATACTTTTTTCCCCCCCTATGATATATCTGCTTTATAACATACCACTTTTTTTTTTTTTTTTTCATTCTTCATATTTTAGTTGCTTCACCTATATTGGTGCCTGGCACATCTTTAACTTCAAAGTTCATAACTAAAAAAGGTGTTGTCCAACAGAATGACAGACAGTAAGGCATAAGATATTGATACCAAGCCAAACTTTGCCTCAAGAACCTAAAAACTCACCGACCCTTTTATTTGTAGCTCTGGAAAAGAACGTCATGCAAATTGTTGGCTTAATCCCAGCAAGAGCAAGTATTGAAGCAGGTAGAGTCCATATTCCATCCCCACATATCAAACCAGAAGCAACTGCTGGCCCAAAAGCATCTGCTTTTGCCTTGTTTACCTTCTGCCAAACGAACAATATCAGACTTCCTACACACATGTCAATGGCAAAATATGGCCCTAAATAGAAAGGTATGGCCATTGCCATTGGAAATGGTATGAACCACCCTCTCTGACCCATCAGATCTTTAATCAAATTTATCAAAATGGCAGAGCGAAGGAAGACATAACACAGCAGGAGGTAGTTCTCTGGTAGAGATGAGAAGCCCTCCAGCCCAAGGATGGCCATGTTCTTGTACAAAATAGCATATGGAGCAGGGTATTCACTTTTAGGAGTCCCAAGGTCATCAAGTGCTCTGTAGAAAACCCAAAAGACACAGGGAGAAATCACACGTCCCATTGCAGTGCCAATTATTTGGCTCACAAACATGGAGCGCGGTGAAGCTAGGGTAAGGTAGCCTGTCTTGAAATCTTGTGTGAGGTCAGAGGCCATGGAGACGATATTCATCATCACTCTGCAGGCTACCGGGCCAGCAAGAATCCCACCATGTGATGCTCCAGCCCATGCTCCATTTGTGAATATGGCAAGCTTTCCATAAGTGGATGCAAGTGACCAATCTGTCAGCCACAACCATTAGCATTGCTGAATGCTAAGGGTGGAGCTAGAATGTCGATAACCAACATGTAGTACTCTTTTAGCTGGTGAAAGATGTGTGGAAGAGTAATCACTGAGACAATGGGAATTGGAACATAGCCTGCAACTGTAAACCATGTGGGGGTCTGATCTTTGAGAAAGAGATGGGAGGAAATCGAAGGATTGCTGAGGACGTGAAGGAGAGTTCTGATCTACAACAGGAAGAACATTTTCCCGTCATTTGTCCCTGATTTGTTGATACAATCCAGTGATGGTATGGCCTAGCGTCTTGAAGAAGTTATACAAACCATCTCCCAGGATCATGGCTATGGCTATGAATATCTGAATTCAAGATCAATAGATAGTTAGTAAACATAGCGGCAAGAGCTGTTCACGGCTTAGGCTGCTCAGTTATAGATTTGCACTTGGAACCTCTTAGATGAGGGATTTTGTAATTTGTTCAATTGAGCAATTTGAGCTACCTGGATTTAATTTAGACAATTTACAGTTCTTTTTAAGTTTACAATGAGAAGTGTTTTTATCAGATTTATTTTTGTTTCCCTTATATATACATATCAACATAAATAACAAAACATTAACAACGTAGACCATCCATATAAAACTTAGGTAACTCAAATCACTAAATTGAATACTTCAGACGATCTCTTAATTTAGAAGATCCAATTTCAGATACTGTTGGCTAGGTGAAGCCCAGACTTTATCCATAGGCTTCTGTCATCTTCTAGGATCTAATAATGAGCCAAAATTAAGATGCTTATCAAGAGTAATATAGACCAATAAGATGCTTTAAACCAAGAGACTTACCTTGTAACCTTCAAGATCTGGCATGTTGTTTTCGTCAAGACCTGGAGGGTACCAATCGCCCAAGAAAGAATTCCTCGAAGCAGGAGTGATATATTGATGATACGTGGACAAATCATTCCCACTCCAGTGTAGATTGTAGAAAAATCAAAGCAGAACCTGCAAATAACTAAAGGCTGAAATGAACTCACCTAATAGTTGAAGATGATGCTGCTCTAAAATTTACTTTTCCCCAATTAAATAAGTGTGTCATTAGAAAGGAAGGAGATGTGATGGCGTACTTGTATGCTTTCTGCCCCATTGAAGGGAAGGCTTGAAATCCACAATCATCAGAAGCAGTGTAGGACCACTGAAAGAAACCCCATATGAAATTGAAAGTGAAGAATTTTCCCGACATTTTCACTTGCTTCCTGGAAGAACAATTCAATTAGTTAGGATTAGTAACTTCTGCCCAATATTTGATTTTGTAATTTTTTTTTTTTGGCAGTGCCTTACTTTGCTAGTGTGGCTTCTTGAGCAGTATGGAAGCCGTTGATTAGATGTGCAGTTGCAGTCCCACTTGGATATGTCAATTTAAAGTCAGTGATCATAATCTGCAAGATACAACAAAATATGAATTAAAAAAAAAAACTAAAGCGGTAAAGACATGAAGCATTATGCTGCTGAAGTAACTATAAAGAGATAGAGAATATGCAGGTTTCTTATTTTAATTAAAGTATAATTATTGATGAGTTGATAAAAAAAGAAAGAGCAATTTTGCATCACACCTTCCTTAGAGGCACAACCGAGAAGAGGCCAAGAAAGCCAACAATAAAGAGAAATCCAAGTATCCATCCTATTGCTGGGTCCTTGAAATCAGTTTTGTTTGAAGATAGCTGGGCTACCCGTTCCCTCATTCCAAAGAGGTAACTCCAAAAGCCGCCTGTAATAGGCTTTCTATATCATATATTGGCATATCAAAGAATATATATAAATAAGTTTTGAACAAACTCAATCATATGATGCTGGAACTGTCAACAATATTCACTTGCTATGTTTTCTTTGTAGAATATGATAATAAATACTCGAAAACCACTCCAAAACCTTCTCATTATAACTTCCAGTCTGGATCCTAGCTTGAGAGATGAAGAGTTTTTTTTTTTTTTGATATACTGGAACTAAGAGAACAAAACACTAGAGAAAAGCAAATACAAGGGCCCTCAGTCCCCTGTGTCTTCCTGATAGAAGTTCCTAGTGGCCTCAGGGGTTAGGATTCGTAGCCCAATACCAAGCTCCAGTGCCTTTCTTGCCAAAGAGTCTGCTACCCGATTATCGTCACGAGGGATATACCTACACGTTACTCGCCAATCGCGTCTCAGCATTTCTTTGATTTCTGTAATCAAGCGAAAGTCATCATGAAGGTCTGACGGTTCGTTATGTATAAGGGACAACGCCCTTTGTGAGTCGCATCGGAGGAGAATATTCCTGAGCCCATTATCCCAAGCTCTTTTGAGTCCCATTAAGCAGCCCCATAACTCAGCCGTGAGTTCATCTCCTGCAACGAGCTTAAACTGAAAGCCTTCAACCACTCTACCCTCCTTTTCTCTCAAAACGCCACCACATGCAGCGTTTTGGCTGTAGTGCGAGAAAGCCCCATCAACCTCAACCGACGCCTCAAAATCCTTTAAATTTAGGTTGTCAGCATTATCATCCATCCTGACACCATGAAGGTTCACACTGGATAGCTTCTTCTGCGCATTCACCATGCTCCCCAAGATGGCAGTAGCTCGGCCATGGATGCCATGGATGTTAGTCTCAGCGTTCATGCGTATATATTCATTCCTATCCCTCCATAGGAGCCAGCATATAATGATAAACAATCCCTTCCAGTAACTAGACTTGTCACTCACCTTTCTCGCCATATTCAGGTGAACCCACTCATGTAGTCCGCAAGAGAAGAACCTGTTATGGTGCGAAGGTGAGATGAGCGCCTCCCACATTCTCTTGATCTCGGCACAGTCTCTCATTGCGTGAAGAGTGTCTTCGGGGAGGTGTTTGCATCGATCACATAAACCCGTAGGATGAAGGTTAATGCGCTTCTTCAACTGATTTGTGATGAGTCGGTCATGCATCAGAATCCATGCAAAGGTTTTACATCGTTGAGGAATTTTGAGCTTCCACATCTCCGTCCATCTAACCGAAGAGCCGTCACGCTGTTGGTCCAGTGACCGATAGGCCGAGCGAACAGTGAACTCGCCGCTTTTTTCCCATTTCCATCTGACACGCACGTCGCCATTGCCTTCCCGAATCTGTTGGATGCCATCTGCAACCTCCTTCCAGTTTCTCTTGATGCCATTCCAAGCATTCGAGCCTGGTTTTCGGGGGTTTATATGTGGCAGAAGGTCATCACCGCACCCATACTTCCCTCTGATGACTCGAGCCCACAAAGACTGATGGTCCTTGACAAGTCCCCAGCCCAGCTTCATCATAAAAGCGCGATTCTGCTGCTTCAGGTGTTTCATACCCAAACCGCCGAACCTTTTTTCACTGCACACTTTGTCCCAAGAGATGAGGTGGATCTTCCTTGTTTCGTCGGTAGCGCCCCACAGGAAGTTTCGGGCTCTCTTTTCTACATTGTCACAGGTGTGAGTAGGGATGTTAGCCGTCTGCATGGAATAAGTCGGCATGGCAGCAATAACAGCCTTGACCAAGGTATCGCGGCCTGCAAAAGATATCCGAGACGCACTCCATGTGCTTAGTCTGCTACGGACTTTATCGAGTATGAACTGGTAGGTCTCCGAAGTAACTCTCTCGTGGTGCAGAGGAGCCCCTAGATATCTCCCAAGATTGGTCGATCTAGAAAAGCCCAGCTCTCCGCTCATCTGCGAACACCGAGTGTGGTTGATGTTACTAGAGAAGAAAACTCTAGTTTTGCTCATGCTGACGCGTTGTCCTGAGGCTTCGCAAAAATTTTGAGAACTTGCTTAATGACTCCGACTTGCTCCATATTAGCTTCTGTGAACAATAGCAGATCGTCAGCAAAAAATAAGTGAGAAATAGGGGGGCCATCCTTACCTAGTCGTATTGGTCTCCATCTTTTAGCATCAACCTCTTCTTGGATCAGATGTGCTAGCTTTTCCATGCATAACACGAAAAGGTATGGGGAAATCGGATCCCCTTGTCGTAGGCCTCTAGAGGGGGTAAACTCATCTGCCTTGCTCCCTTCCCAAAGTATCTGCATGGAGGAGGTTGAAATACAGGCTCTAATGACTTCTTGTAGCTTGTGAGGTATGTTTAGTTCAGTGAGGCATTCCATGACGAAATCCCAACGGACACGGTCATAAGCTTTTTCTAAGTCAACTTTGATCACCATGAAGCCTTTCTTCCGTTTCATGTTTTTCATAGAGTGTATGACTTCTTGAGCGACAATGATATTATCAGCACTCGTACGGCCGGGAACAAAGCTGCATTGGTTGGGGGAGACTACCTGCGGTAGAAAGCATTTTATTCGGTTAGCTATAACTTTTGTAATAGTCTTATAAACCACGTTACAAAGGCTTATAGGGCGAAAATCACTAATAGACTCAGGATACTCCCTCTTAGGAATCAGCACTATGAATGTGTTATTGAGGCTTCGAATGGTCTCCGGCTTTTCAAAGGCTGTCCTAACCGTCTTGATAACAGAAGGACCAATTGTCTCCCATTGGCTTTGGAAAAATAAGGCATTCAGTCCATCAGGGCCTGGGGATTTGAGTGCCCCCATGCTGAAAACTGCCGCCTTGATTTCCTCATTTGTGACCGCCTTCGAGATATCTGTTAGAATGGATTCCTCTATAGTCGGAAAAGAGGAGCACGAGAGCGTGGGGTGGACGATGTGGTCGTCATTTCTGAATAAATTGATGAAGAAGCTGGTAGCCATCCTTTTATCTCCTGAACGTCATCTATCCAATCCCCTCTCTCATTCTTGAGTGCTTCAATTCTGTTCCTTTTTTCCTGCCGTTAGCTCTAGCATGGAAGTACTTGGAGTTTTTATCCCCCATTGTATACCAGTCGCATTTCGCCTTCTGGGCCCACAAGAGCTCTTCTTGAATAAGGATTTCCTCCAGTTCCAGCCACAGTTTTTTCTGGAGTTGATCCACAGAGGAGGTGTAATTTTGATAGCCATAGGCCTTAGAGATGCCGTCCAGACGCCCCATAATTCGGCTCTTTTGTTTACCGAGGTGGCCAAAGACATTATAGCTCCACGACCCAACTTCATTAGTAAAGTTTTTGACATTCTCCGTCCAGTGCGCCTCGGTTTCCCATGCAGCTTTGACCATCCTGGTGAAATCCTCATGCAGGCACCACGAAGCTACCACTCGGAAAGGCCGTTCTTGTTTGGTTCTTGGTTGATGTCGAGTTGTTGATAGGAGTATCGGCCTATGATCAGATTTGAACCACGGCAGGTTTCTCACTGATGCATCCCCAAAGACTTCGTTGAACTTATTGTTTGCCACAACTCGGTCTAATCTGCTCTCACAACCCTCCCTTTTCCAGGTGAAAAGCGGGCCATGACACCCGAGATCATTGAGTTCCAGTTCCTCAAACCATGAGATGAAGTCTCTGTCAACTGAGGTGGGGTGGGTAGCGGTTGAGTAGCGTTCATGGTGGAATAGGGTGGCATTAAAGTCGCCTCCAAGAATCCAAGGACAGTTGTCTTCAGGACGTAAGTTGGCTAGATTATACCACAGTTGCCGTCGTTTGTTGACATTAGTACTTGCATAGATGGAGGTGATAAGCATCTTATCTTGGCTCTTCTGTACCAGAACATGAATAAATTGATCTGAGCTTTGAACAACTGAGACGGAGAGATCCACCTCGTTCCAAGCTATCCAAATACCTCCCTGGAGACCATTTGCGTCAACAATTTCGTACTTGTCAAAACCAAGTTTTTGGCATCTCATGCGAGCTTGCGAACCTCCGCATTTAGTTTCAAAGAGTGCAATGAAGTCAACACAATATTTTTTTTTGATTTCTTTTATTAGCCCCGGTAATATTTTGGAGCCGGTTCCTCTACAATTCCAAAAGAGGCAAATCATGGGAAACCGTTGCTGGGGGGATCGATGCTTATAGGCCCCCTAGAGTTCATATTGTGCGAGTCAGTCTCAGTTCCGGTCGCCACTATTGAGGATTCCGCAACACATGTCAAGCTTTGAAGGTTGCGTTCGCTTTGCGTTTTACCCCTGGATGAGGCCACTCCTATGTTTTGTTGAGTTTCTGGTTCAATTTCTGTGATTGGCCCACGTTCTTCATCCATGGCTTCTTCATTTGGGTCAGTCCAGAGAGCTTGAAAGGGGTTGGGTGCTTTGAGGAAATGATCTCTTGCGTTTTGGGCCTGAGGCAGAGTCGGCCCGCCTCCTGTGTTTTCCTTTCTTGACAGATTCTCTTTACCGTTGAGATTTTTCCCTGCCTTCGGTGTGTTTCTCTGGGTCACAGGGACCCACCTTTTTTGGTTCGTTATTTCCTTGCCAAAAGATCTGGGTTTCTCATATTTGTATTGCTCATTTCTTGCCTGATATGTCTCCTGAGATAAGGCCTCATTTATATTAATGTGTTGACCTCGGGCACTATGCTCCCGAAGACCACGCTCCTCAGTTGCATATCGCGCCAATCTCTCTGAGCTTTGAAAGTCACCGCCTGATTTCCCGGTATTTCCCGATCTTCGCCTCCTAGGCCGTTGGACGAGGTTCCAGACCCCTAGTCCTTCCTGCAACGCCTGAGCGCCGTCGTCTGCCACCGTGGTATTCCTGGTCCCTCTGTGGCGCTTTACCCCTGAAGCTTCAGCGGCTTTGGTACTTTGCACATTTTCGGCTCCGTTTTCATCATTCCTGATTTTGGGGTCAATTTCCTCCGTCGTTCCTTCTGCTGGGTTGGCTTTCCGGTTTCTTTGGCTGTCTGGGCCTTGAGCATGAGGAACCTCTCTCTCTAGGCACATATCCCTGTGGTGACCGTACTTGCCGCAACTAAAGCATATTAGGTGCAAGCCTTCGTATTCGACACACCTTCTCTTCCCAAAGATTCTGATAGCTGCTTTCAGGCGTTTATTCAGATCTATTTCGATACAGATTCGGGCAAATCTCCCCCGCTCGCTAGCATATGTCATACGATCAATTTTTAAGGTCTGTCCTAATAAGCCTCCGATTCTCTTTAGACTTACTGCATTGAAAAATTCAAGAGGTAGAAGAGGTATACGAACCCACACTGCGATCTTTTTTTGGATTTCTGCACACCACGGGTCGAAGTTTGGTCGCCACCTCTGAACCACTAGATACCTGTCCGAAACCATCCAAGGTCCCTCACTATAGATGCGGTTCATATCGTCTTCATTTTCAAAAGAGATCACGAAGTAACCATTGTCGATGTCCCTCGTAGAATACGGCTTGTCTGTCTTCCATATCTTGTGGAGACTGTCTCTCATTACCCAGAGTGGAACTGTCTTACCGAGGAGCTTCACTATGAGGGAGTTCCTCCAAGGTGCGCACCACTGTTCATACTCCTCCCTCGAAATCCTGAGAGTAGGGCACTCTTCATCCTCGTCCTCTGTCCCATCTGTTGACCCATTCGGGAGTGAGCCATCATTCTCTGCAGTAAAAAAGTTTTGGAGCCCCTTGATGTATTCCGCCCATGCATCCTCAAACACTCCACGTCCTTTCTCATCTTTCGTCACCTGTTCAGTTTGGCCTCCTAGAAGGGAGTCTTTGAAGGATTTCGTCTTCTCAACCTGGTCATCATCTCTGTTTAGATCGTCATCACCTGTGTGGCTGGTTTGTCGGTATTTTTTCTTCAAGCGCTTCGCTTTGTCGCCCTCGTCGGATTCTCCACCGCCTTCCGCACGAGCCATCTATTTTACACCCAGTTAATTCTAAAGAGAAGTTTATAAGAGCCAGTTGACTACCTTGAAGAGTTAGTCATCAACAATAGAGATAAATTATACTACCTCCGGTTCTAATTATAAGAGCCAGTTGACTAATTTGAAGAGATTAAGAAAGTAAGTTGAGTTAGTTATTTGTCCTAAATAAATATTGTCTTTCCTAAAATATCCTTGCTAATTAAGTGTATTGACTAGAACTATTATTGTTAGAAGGGTTACTTTGGAAAAAAAAAGTATAAATATGAGAGACAAAACAGATTGGAATCTTATATTTAGGATCAAAATAAAAGTCAAACAGGATTTTATATTAAGGACTGGAGGTAGTACTTTATTTTAGACAATGAATATCTATTCAGCAACCTTTAAACAGAAAAAGAAACAAACTTCGACTATCAGTTGTCAATAAGCTAGTGGCACTAAAGTCTTTGTTCATGACTTCTAAGTCAATGAAGTATTTTTCTTCATGTTTTGGAGGAAGGGGCCTTTAAATGATTGGGATGGTATGAATTACGATCGTATTGTGGAGATACAGTATCTTTCACTATTTTTGATGTTATATTCCATTTTAATTATTAATTTATCGTAACTAGGAGAATGATTTAGGAGTATGCTTATCGGATTTAATTATATATGTGCTTCGAAGAAGAGGGGAAATGCGATTTTTGTTCAGTTAGGAGAGTGGAAAATGTTAGCTTTATTGTCGTCAAAGTGATTAAAATAGCTTTTGTATGATTCAAAATGAGATGTATACTAACCCAAAGCACCATGTAAACTTAAAGGAAAGTTTCATCATATAAGACCACTAATATTATGCAGTAATAAATGCTGAGTTTTAAAGAGATAAGCATAAAACTGAAATAATAAATATCAGGATATCTACTTTAATTATAAAATCTCGTAATACCCGATAATGTCAAAATGGGTCGGGTTAGGTAATTAAATAACTATCCAATTGATACTTAATACTATGAAACTGATAGTTGAGGGGCACTATAAACGCTATTGGAAAAGATGCAAATGGAGTTTCGCAAACAAATTATTCATAGAATTTCTTAACATCTCATTTATGCAATATATGTTATCCTGAAACTGACACTCAACCTTTTTGTTTTCTACCTTTGTGAATTTAATTATTTTAATGACACAATAATTGTGGTTACACCTTTCACAGTTTTTTGAAACTAAACATTGATGTTTTATCAGGGAGAATAACAATATAGGTAGTTTTACTAAAAAATTTAATGTGAAATCAGTATTTAGTAAACCTGTCAACATTAGATACTTAAATATTATATTTTATTGTCCAAATCATATATAAGAAAAATCATATTTCCAAAAGTTAAGAAAAAAAGATGAATTTTTTTTTTTTACAATAGAAGAGGAGGAATATAATAAAATATTTTTCAGTAGTATCAACCATTTTAATGTGTCATCCTGTGCATTGCACAGGGAAGAAGGTTCTAGTTAAGATGGATATGTGATCATATAAAAAAAATTACACTCATAATAA